GATTTTACCAGAACTGGTCGGGCTGCGCATCTGCAGCCTGCTGCTGCGGCTGCTCCTGCTGTTGATCGTGCCCCGACTGATTTCCTTTCCGTCGGTTTTGATCCTCCGGGCCATTTCGCGCTGGTTCCGGCTAAAATGCAAAACAGTTTCAAGCGTTCGCGACTTTATTATTTTTTCCGTTCCTGACCCACCAGCTTAAATTTTGCTAAATAATTGAGAATGCTTCCATTACTGAAAAATTCTTGTGGTTTAGAAGGGATAATAATCTGACGACAGAGTCTGATGCCTTCAAAATAAACGTGAAAGAAGAGCAAAAATTTTCGATATTCTTGTACGGGGCATTTTATAGCATATCAGTTGTAAAAAGTAGTTGATTTAGCTACGAACCTAAAAGTTGGTTGTGTAACGCGTACGTGATTTTCGAATTGCATTTCCGACAGCTAAAAGCTAAATTTTGTTTTTGTGTGTTGTCCCAGAAACGAAGTGATTGTTACCCAATTCCTCTGCCGGGCTAGTGACAAAACTATTTTTTGAACCACAAGTGGACTGTAGAGATGAGCAGTAAGATTCAAACTTACGATGCGCGTTCCTTCCACACCATTGTTTGTCGAAGACATAATTCCGTTAAAAATATGGTATTAGATAAGATCACGATCTGACGGAACCGTTTAAAAGCAAGGAATTAGAACCTAGTTGAAATCAGCACAGTAGATCGAGCCTTCAACAACGCACAGTCAAGAATCGCAAAAGCAGACGTTGCTTATTGCGAAGCCATAAATCCCCCCTATTTAAAGGGTTTCCCGGCTCCGCCTAGTGCATGCTGCAGTCTCCTCCCTTATACCGGACTGATTGCTGCTCTGGTCACTCCCTAACAGTGTTATTCGCAATTAAAGGATTTATTTGACGTTCCTGTTGATAGATGACTAAAGATAACCGTCTGCAGCATTGTTAGTCGAGGGCATACTCGTCGTCATTCAAATCATCATTCAAATCATAATCATAATTCGGCATAATCGGACATAATCGCACAAACGTCGAAGAAACAAAATATAGTATTAGATAAGAAAGTTTTAGATTGACGATGTAGGAATAGATTAAAAGCAGGAAACTGGAGCCGAGTTGAAATGACACAGTAAAACGATTACTGAAGAACTATTGCGTCACTGGAACTCGATCACCTACATCACTGGAATACTGTTGCGGTATGGGAGGAAAAGAAATCTGATGGCAGAGACTCAAGCCTTCAAACTAAACGTGAACGAAGAACAAAAATTTCGATATTCTTGAATGAAGCATTCTATCCCTTGTCTGCTGTGAAAATCAGATGATTTCGCTACGAATCAAGGATTTGATTGCGCAAAGTGTGCGCGATTTTCGAATTGCGTTTCTGACAGTTGAAAGCCAAAATGGACACGTGCGCTCCCCAGCAGCTAATGGCGTGGGGGCAAGGGGCTGCGTTAGCTTAGTGCTAGCAAAAACTCGGCTTCAGTAAGACTACCGACAAGTTTGTTTTTGTGTGCTGCCCTGGCAGCAAGCTATTGACGAAACTATTTTTTGAACCACAAGTGGACTGAAAGAATGAGTAGGAAGATCCAAACTTACGGTGCGCGCTAAATCTGCATCCATCCATCGTCGATGGCGCACACACCTTGTTCGCAGCACATGTATCGATGGTTTGACGTTGATGTGCTTGGTTATCACGTCAGTCTCATAAGACATGCGTGTGCATCGTTCTGATGCTTTTCGGTTCAGTCTTCTAGTAATTCAGGCATTTTTTGCTACAATATTCTGTGGTATTCGCTAAATTGCAAGGGTTTTACAGCGGTGGGATTTACCCATCAATTTATGGTTTTGGTATGCTGCAGATTTTCTGTCTCACGCAAAAAAGTTAGCCACTAGGAGTGGGTACTTTACAAACTGGTGTAGTTGTTGTTTTATTGTCGTACATTTCTCCCTAAATTTACCTGAATCAGCTGGTCAGCTCTGGCGAACTTGCACGTCCGAGGCAGCTGCTATGGATCCTTTCACCAACTTGCTTAAATCCATTTTCATTCTGCCTTACTCTAAATCTATTCCTCTAGGCTGACGTATAACTAATAATTGATTGGTGGAATTTACTAGGCACAAACCGAATGAATTTCGCTTGATAAGAACGATGGTAGGGGCAAACAGTGGAACAAAATCTTCGTGCAAAGAACGCAAGCCAAGAGCTTACACTAGAAGGAATGCTGCGCGAAGATCGAAGCAGAACAACGTCTTATTTTCCTGCCTGACGGTGCACCAGCTTCAGAATCTCCTGGACGAGGTTTGCTCACAGTCTTTTTTATTTTAGTTATCCCGGGATGGCTATTCTTATTCTGAAATGGTCTGTCAGAGATCTGCTGCCTTTTTGTGCCAAAAATTATAGAAGCGTCTGAGGTGGGATGTCTTTATGATGCAAAAAAGGGTCTCTAATAAGTAGAC